AGCTGCATGCCGTTGGGGATGTGGGTGCCCATTGTCACTGTGTACATCTGTGCCACTGAAACAAAACAAGGGCAGTTTTTTATGGATTCAGGTGGTGGAAACGAGCTACTACCACTTGTATGGTTGTTGGCAAACTCGTGGATATTTGAGTTATGTAAGAACCGAGTAGTGGTGATTTGTATGCGCTATAGGGAATGAACAAGCTAGTGTAGGCATACCCTCGATTGTTCTTCATCTTAAATTTTGATCGTTTGAGCGGAATGCACCAACGATTCTGTGAACACTGCCACAACGAAACAGAGAAAATACATACACCTCCAACGGTTGATATATTCTGTCATTTTATTTACATTTCAGAGCTATATGGAAGATGCTGTGCACTTACTGAACGTAGGCGGCATGATTAGTGTGGTAGGTGTCACTGTAGATGGCGCTGAAAGTATTGAATACTATAATTTATCACACGTACAATATCAACAGTGTGAGAAGAAAGATGAGACAGGGCTGGCAAGGAATGGGGGGAGGGAGGTGCGTGGATGGCAAAGTTGATTGTTCTAAGCTGTAAGTTTCGAGTTAAAAGCTTAATTTCTGATGACAATCAACCCACAGTTACCACATTCCTTCCAAGGGTATTATTTCCCAAATATATCCGGTAGATCAAATAAAAAAGTAACTTATTTCAAAGTTCAATAACTTCAACAGTTCACAAGCTTTGGAATTTTGCACAGGTTTCAGATGCATTATTATTGGTCAACCCTGAAAATTTCAAGAAGAAAAGTGAAACAGCATTTATATTATTGTCAAACCAAACAACAGGCCTATGGCGGCATGGTGTCAAAATTGCCAGAGACTGGCACTTAAAATACTCTGTCACATAAGCCGACTATAACTTATTTTTATTTTTCTTTATCTTTAAAAGAAAAACTTAAAAGTGGTCTGAATTCGACATTTCACAATTGACAGACATGATGTAAAAACATTTCTTGGGTTGAAATTTTCTATGAAACATCGACATTCCTTAATATATATTAAAATCAATATCGTTAAGGCGTATTACTACTTATCTTTTTTCATGAAGAATATGAAGTTACATTTCATGAAAGGAAAATCATGGTGTCACTGTGAAATCTCTCGTAGTACCCGCATGCAAACGCTTCTTCCAGTTAAAAGTTGGTAAATAATGTTGCATTTGTCTTTTTTTACATAAAACCATGTTAACATAATCATGATTGAGCGTTTGACTGTTTTCGCACCAGTTTAGACAACAGTACAATTCAAGCTGTATAAAAATAAAATGGAATGATCTCAGCAAGTATATGAATTATAAAAAAAATTGATAACGCTTGTTTCGCCCTGGCATGGTAGACAAGGCACTGCATTTTTACAGTTGGACACAAAAATGAAATATAAATAAATAAACAAATAAATACATAACTTACTAGGTTGTGCATCACATTGCGAGATTCTGGACAATGCCATCAGCAATGAAAACAATCTGCAATAACTTAGCAGACGAGAGACGCCGCCCATGGTCGTCGGTAAACCTGTCGTCTGCGCGCTGCTCTCGCAAAAGAAAGAATGGTAAAATATCGAAAACAGCACTGCTTAAAAAGCCATACACATCAGCGGACATTATTCATGAAATGTAAAACAAAAGCAAGACATGCAATTCAATGAAAACAATAAAATTGTAGAATTCCTGCATTTCTTAACAGGGCTGGGAGCAAATCCAGTTTTTAGTTTATTCGCCATGCAATTTTCTCTCCTCTTTTGGGGATTTTGGAAAAATAACAAAAAGATTAGTTTGAATGCATGCAGTATGTCGATTGTCTTGTTTATTTATTTATTTATTTACTATATATTTATTTATGTCCCAAGAACTAAATTCTGGCCCTCCATGTAAAAGAAATGGGAATTTAAAAATATCCGACATTTTGACCTAAGACAAGGCCCGGTGCAGGCCTCGGAGGGGCGGACGTTTTGTTCCTTACACGTTCCATATTTCATAACTGCCTGCCAGGAAGACATGTCTTCAATGAAATTTATTTGTTTTTATTATCCCCTCAGGTGATCGAGTTGCGTAAAATGAGATAATATCCTTCAACTCAGATATGCAATGCAAAAAAATGTTATCACTGCGTTGCCGTTGAAGAGATGTTTCACCCGATCAACTGATAGTAAATCGTAGCAATTACAGCTAGAAACGCATAAAATAGCAAAAACGACTTGATAAACTTTAGAATCTTTTTAACAAGGCAAAACCACTTTTGTGAAATGTTGCAATTCTATTATAATTTGCACTTCATAGATAAAAGAATTACACAGAATTTTCAAGAGCGCAGCATTTTGTTCAAAGTGCCGCTCTGGAGTATACAGGTAATTGTGTTTGTGACGTACCCATGTAGAAGTAAACCGACATATGTTTTAGTTTATTATTTTAACGAGTTTGAAACACATATAACGTGGTGCATTTATTTCTGTTTTATTGCATGGACAGATGATTTTGGCGTCAATTATTTGGACAGTGGGGCAGAATTTCTGTCCAGGCGCATGTTTCTTCTTGTATGCCCCTCAGTGCCTACAGGGAAGGAACATTTTTGTCACTGCTGATGAGCAGGTTTGCTCGTGCGCGCGCTTTAAATTTTGCTGTCCGATTTCTGACTTTCTCCCTAAGCAATCATGGATAGACAAAGCGTATCAATTAAGCTGGACCATCCACATCCCCGATGATAGGCCTATCAATCCCAAAAGTTTTTAACTTCCTCATTCGTATGGTCAAGTAGGAGATAGGCGCTGAAGCTATAACATAGAAAATGTGCATCGTCCACCCCCATAAACAGCTCTACACAAAGGCACATTAACACTCCAAGTGCCCATTCACATCCCTGATGATTGGTCCATTACTTCTTCACTCTAATGGTCGAGGAGGAAATAGAGCAAACAACAATATATAAAAAAAAATCACAATCATCCGCTCCCAGGGACAGCCCAACACGAAGAGGCACACATTTTGAAGTGCTTATATGTACATCTGTATTATTAGGTCTACCAACCCGCAACGTTGGACCTTCAAATCCAGCATATGTTAATGACTCATAGGCCTGAGTTAAAATCTAGTTAAATGCACAAGTAAGAGGACTAATTCAAACATCTTATGCTCTTTACGTTACATCCATGTGGAATGAATAACACTAATAAGGCAATTGCGTGTTTAGTGCAGACGAATAATAAGTTAGTCGGGGTAATGTAAACAACCTTATCTAATACGATATTTCCAAAGCATCTGTTTTGTATATACGAGTGCATACAAAATGAACAAAACTTAGCCTAAAATGCTTCTAGGTTGCTTTATGTAAATTTATTGCCTCGTGCGTTATCTATGGCTTCTTTAATAAACCTTGCCAATAATGACATAAATAGTCACTATTTTGCCATAGGACCAGTATATTCGGTATTACAACATTGGTCAAAAAGGTTGTCCAACCCCAAATTCCATGTGCTTTTATTTACAAATGATTACCTCACGGCTGTAAACAGTGCTCTTTATTCCAGATACCACATCTAGCTTGTTTAATGGTTCGGAAAATACAGAAACGGTGAAAATACCCATATTTTAAACCAATTATTAAAATTTAAACCATGCAGCCCCTCAAATCCAGTGTTTCACTGTTAAATTAATAGAGGATACAGAATGTCCATAAAATTAAAAAACACCACCATATTTCACTTAATTTATATGACATACCTGTATATTGTAGGATTTCATACATTTATATATTGTGCGATGTCATACCTGTATATATTGTACAGGGAGTGACAAAAGTATTGCACCATTTTTTTCTTTAAAGGGAACAACAGCTGGATTTGAAAGTTTTTCAATTGTGATTTTATTGAAAACTGATTGTGTCGAGTGAGTATCTTTATTTTACATGTAGGTTTACAGAACAGTGCATTGTCCTTACATAACATATGCTATTATGTCAGAATTAATATTTTGTAGGATAGCCACGTGATTTCAATATGGCCACAGCACTTATAGGCACAGACTGATAAAGGTCCATTAATCCTCTGGGGGTTGTGTTGGCCCAGGCTCTGGAGACATTTTGGATTAGAGAGTTTTTGGTAAAGGGGCGATCCTTTGCCATTTGATTTTCAATATCTTGCCACAGGTTTTCAATGGGGTTTGCGTCTGGTGATTGGGCAGGCTAGTCCACCCTGTTGATGCCATGCTGGTGAAGCCACTCTTGCGCTGTCCTAGCCCTGTGTGGTGTAACGTTATCATCTTGAAATATAAACGGATGGTTCCTGTCCCCAAAGTTGTTGTTTTTTTTTTTTTTCTACCGATGCTAAAAGGTCTAAAAGGTGTTTCCGTTTATCAACACCAGTTCAACAATGCCATAGAAACCAATGCACCTCTAAACCATTATTGAAGTGGACTGTCTAGTGAGGAAATGCATATTCTCTGGCAGATGACAAGTGGGTGATGCTCTCCATACCCGCACTTAGCCACTCATTTGTTAACTGTGAATATGGACTCGTTAGAAAAAAACAAAATGGCGAAAATTCTGACCCACTGTCCAGGCAATGGTTCTGGCTGCCCTTGTCACTCTTCTGATTCTGTTTACCAAGGTGATGAGTGGATTCTTCCTGGCAACCCTGATGTGAATACTCGAAGCATGGAGCCTTCTTTGTTCAGCTCTTTTGATAACCTCAACCTGAAAACTGCGCACCAATGCAACACTAATTCCCTGCACGGCTCAAACCTCCTAAGCCTTGACAGCACGGGGGATCCGTGCTGTCAAATGTACAGACAAAAAGGAGAAAATAAAAATGCACAAAAGAGGATCCTGTCAATTCTGATGAAGTAATGCATAAAATGTGTAACAAGCATAAGACCTAGATTAATCTAACAGGATCGATCCACCTCCAAGGGGTTTCTCACTAAATTGCTTTCAGCTTAAGTGGCTTAAGATTCTGTCACGCCAGCTTCAGTAGGCGTGACAGACATCTAAGTCTCTTACATTGATTGCAATTTAGCGAGAATCCCCTAGGAGATAGAGGGATCCACAGTTAGCGCTATAGGGTCTGGAAATGGTCTCTAAGACTTCAGGTTGATAAGAGTTCAAGTTCATACTTTGAAAATGCCAGAATAAGAAAAAGTGAAATTTTCACAAAAACATAGCATAAATTCAATAAACAAATATAATTCAAGAGAGCTGTTTTTCTTATTTGAGCTGTATGTAAGTCCTTGTAAGTTAAAAAAAACATATGGGAGTGAAAAGTCAAATCTTGAAAATGCCAGTTTGACAAATGAAAAATTAAAAAAGGAAAAATTACAAAAATATTCCACTAAAGCTGTCATTCAATCTAGCTGTATTACCACTATCCCACTTGAGTTTGAAGATAATGATATCTCAACATGTGTATTTTATGTAATCTCANCTTCAGTAGGCGTGACAGACATCTAAGTCTCTTACATTGATTGCAATTTAGCGAGAATCCCCTAGGAGATAGAGGGATCCACAGTTAGCGCTATAGGGTCTGGAAATGGTCTCTAAGACTTCAGGTTGATAAGAGTTCAAGTTCATACTTTGAAAATGCCAGAATAAGAAAAAGTGAAATTTTCACAAAAACATAGCATAAATTCAATAAACAAATATAATTCAAGAGAGCTGTTTTTCTTATTTGAGCTGTATGTAAGTCCTTGTAAGTTAAAAAAAACATATGGGAGTGAAAAGTCAAATCTTGAAAATGCCAGTTTGACAAATGAAAAATTAAAAAAGGAAAAATTACAAAAATATTCCACTAAAGCTGTCATTCAATCTAGCTGTATTACCACTATCCCACTTGAGTTTGAAGATAATGATATCTCAACATGTGTATTTTATGTAATCTCATTTAATGGCCACTTCAGACTTGATTAGGCAAGTGACTTGATAGCTCTGAACTTAGCTTATGATTACTCAAGGGACCATTACAGACTGACCACCCATCTTATCTATATACCACAAACTAAGTACTAAATGCTAGAATGAGAAAATACAGAAAATGCACAGAGCTTCTGGTGGATGGAAGTTAAAAGTAACACCTTGAAGATGCTAGTGTTTGAAAAATAATTTAAATTTTTTTTAAATAAAACATAACAAAAAATTCCAATAAAGCTGCTATTCAATCTTTTAATCTAGCTGTATTAACATGATATGAATAACCCCATTGAGTTTGATATCATTAATGTTGGTGTTACACATTTTTTTTTACAATATTAAACAACATTACAACATTTACCTGCATAATTATCACCGATTCCTAATTATGTGACACAGGTAAGAGAGCTAAACCTATGGGACTTTACAGGGAAATCTCAACGTGTGTTTTATGTAATCTCATTTGAAAGGTCATTAGGCAAGTGACTTTATAGCCCTGAATTTAGCCAGTGATTACCCAAGGTACAATTACATACTGACGACAATCTGTAAGATTCCATATGGAGTAGCAC